AAGATATCATATTTGATAATGAGGGAGCAGGGAGGTTATATATAATTTTTATATGGAGTAACATAGTGAGGATTCATATAGCCAACCCCGACTTGTTTGAGGCCTATGTTGCACGGACTCTCCAAATTGCTGCCGCACCCATGTCGGATCCTCCAAGAATATATTACTTTTGGAGGATCCGACACGTGCCTGGAGACATTTTCGTAGAGTCCGAGCAACATAGTTTGAGGCTAAGGTGTAGTTGTTGTATTTGAAAAATAAGGGAGGATGCCTCTCTTCTTTTTTTGGTGTTCTGTTTCTGCAAAAAAACTATGAACATTGTTTGTCAATTAATATTCGGTGTATTTATTTTTCTTTGAATGCCGTTTGTGTAAAATGTTACCATCGGATGCATGACACTATGTCTAATGTTGTTTTAGTGTGACTTTTTAGTTGGTGAAAGCCTTTTATTTTTTTTCCAGAGCTTCTTGGGTCTATCTTACCCTTAGTTGATTCTTGATTTAGTTATGGAAAAGGGAAGAAAAAGTAAAATCATAGAGACCTGTACCTAAATTAAGATATAAATTTGATACTCCTCTATTCTGGTTAGTGTTTTTGTTTTTAGAAGGCTCTAATGTGGTTAGTATATCGCATTCTTTCTGGTAAAAGAATTCAGTATTCTTTAGACCTCACCCAACCTCTCCGTCTGTACTTTTGAGCTATGTTGCTTGGATTCTTCAAATCTCTGCCGCACCCATGTCAATCCAACACGATTTGGGTATGGATGTAGGATCCACACCGGATTTGGTCAACTTACCTTGGATGCTTTGACTGCATATTTGACCAAGAAGTATAGATTGATTGGGTATTTGGTTTCATCTTTGGGTTTATATATATATATATATATATAGAGGTATATATATAAAGTATGAGAACGCTTTGCTATTGCACAAGATATGTTATGAATAAAATCTTAGGTGTTTATAAAGAATTAAATTTTATTCGTTTTAGATCAATGACTTTATTTGATCGAAATATTTACTTAACATGTCGTAATATTTATATTCATTGGCCATATCCCAACATCTGTATCCATACTCGAATCCATGCCCCCAAATCATAAAAATTTTGTGATGACGAATCCGAATTTTAGATCCACACCCGAGTCCGAGCAACATAGCTTTTGAGTTCATAAAAAGATATTTCTTTTTTTTGAAAATGAAAAGACAATATATGTGACTCTACCCTCAAGGTATGGGCAAGGTCTGCGTACACACTACCCTCCCCAGACCCCGCTCATGGATTATACTGGGTTTGTTATTATCGTTGTTGTTGTAAAAGATAATATATGTGAGTTCATAAAAAGAAATGTTTAGCTCAAGTGGCAAAGGGTGGTGGATTTGTGTCTTAGGTCACAGGTTCAAGCCCCCACACCATGCAAAGCAAAGCCCGGTATTTAAGTGGAGAAGGGTAGAGGGGAGGGTCCATTATCCACCGAATTTCGAAGGCTGCGGTTGGTCCAAAGGATCGGCCTCAGACGGATTTCTCGGTCATCAAAAAAAAAAAAGAAATGTAAGGAACCCACCAAGCTCTTTGTTATTTCAAAGGTGGTTTTGCAAGGAAAGCAAGGACCTCATGTTTCTGCTATTTTGCTGTCAAATACTGTAAGGGAGGGATGCTACGTTATCAGCGAACCTCGTCCGCTTCTGTTTCTTTCTCGAAATTATTTTCCTTTTATCTAACCTCGCTGAGCATCCTCCTCCAAAGAACTTGCTTTCTTCACACACAGAATTTGTTATGAATGTAAATGAAGGCAAAAGCCTATTAATGGTGATTCAAGTTGAAACTTATTAAGTTGCGTCAAGCTATATGAGCAAATGTGTAAAAGTATTAGATGGGGTGAAAGGTATTGATCAAGATGTCTATTTTGTATGGTGGATATAATTGAGAATCCAAGTGTTAGAGAAACTTTCATCTCTTGAGAATGTTTGGCATGGTTGCTGGGGCCAAGCCTAACACTTCCTCAAGTGCAGCTAACTGGTGACATTTAAGGGCCTTGATGCTTTTCTATAAGTCTTGGCTTCTGCATAGGAGATTTTCTTGGATTTTGACTGTATATTTAGTTATAATTCATTATTGTTGATTGTTTCACACACATTTGGTTTATAATGGTTTTAATTTCAATTTAGTTGTGTAAAGCACTCGGCAGCTTAAAAAATTGATCTGATCCATTATTTCACATAGGACTTTCAGTTAATACATTTTGAAATTCATTCTGGAGATATATCCACCAAGCATGGATGATGTCGACATAGAATTGGATGAACTGGAATTAGTTGCTGCTGCTGCTGGCTATCACTATTATAATTGTATAACTAGGCAGCCTTCTCGTAGTTCAACTCCTAAAGGGTCTGGCTTCTTGAGCGAACTACTTAGTGCCAATGATGATGTGTGTCGGGAAATGTTAAGGATGGATAAACATGTTTTTCACAAGCTATGTAACATCCTTAGACAAAGAGGCATGCTACGTGACACACCTGGCGTTATGATAGAGGAGCAATTGGCAATATTCTTGAACATTGTTGGCCACAATGAACGTAACAGGGTAATACAAGAGCGTTATCAGCACTCTGGTGAAACAATAAGCAGGCATTTTAATAATGTTTTGAGGGCAATTAAGTCGTTATCCCGCGAGTTCCTTCAACTTCCTCCAGTCAGCACTCCTCTCCAGATCCTTGAAAGTAATAGATTCTACCCATATTTTGAGGTTAGCCTCTAATCCTCCTTCGTTCTTGTTCCGTTTTCATGGACTTATTGACCTGACTTTGTTATTTCAGGATTGCATTGGTGTGATCGATAGCATGAGAATCCCTGCTCATGTGCCAGCCAAGGATCAATCCCGTTTTCGTAATAAGAAGGGTATTCTGACACAAAATGTGTTGGCAGCTTGCACATTTGATCTACAATTTATATTTGTCTACCCTGGTTGGGAAGGCTCAGCTTCAGATTCACGGGTTTTGAGAGCAGTCCTAGATGATCCCGATCAGAACTTCCCTCCAATCCCTGAAGGTTGTTCATAATTATTAAGCAGAATAGTCTGCCTTTACTTTAATTCATTTTCTTTTTTAACACATACTTAAACAAGTGGTTGATATTTTGTGGACGAATTGTCTACTGCAGGGAAATATTATCTTGTTGATACAGGTTATGTTAATATGGATGGATTTATTGCTCCATTTCCAGGAATTCGATGTCATCTTCATGAATATCGGGGTGCTAATCTATTACCTAGAAGTGCAAAGGAGTTATATAACCACCGGCATGCATCACTCAGAAATGCCATTCAGAAATCTTTTGAGGTGCTGAAAACGAGATTTCCAATTCTCAAACTTGCCCCTCAATATGCTTTTAACACACAAAGGGACATTGTTATAGCTGCATGTGTTATTCACAATCACATTCGGCGTGAGGAAAGGAATGACTGGTTGTTTAAAGACATTGAAGGAACATCAGTAGAAGAGTTGCCTGATTTAGATGACCAGCCTGATCCACAATTGGCTTTTCAAATACAAGAACAAAGTGCCTCTGCTTTGAGAGATTCCATTACAGCAGCAATGTGGAATGACTTTATCAATAAATGGGACGCGTGGTGATTCATATTGCTTGGTTTTCAACTTAGTCTGAAGTTGACACCTTGGTTATCCTGTGAATAGCTTCATGTGTTCATGGAAAAAGATAGATTTGGTGCATGCCATGGTGAAAAGCATTAATATTTTTGTTTTGCCACAGTTAGTAGCCACACTAGCAATACATGATTCATCCTTCAATTGTGATAATGATCCTCTTTTCCTTCTTTTTTTGTGCCCGAATTCGGAGGTGTTATTTGCTTCTGCCATCAGTTATCTGTTGTTAATAGGGAGTAGTATCTTTCAGCATTTATCAACCTGGATAATGGTGAAAACTTTTGCACTGTGTAATTAGTACCAGTTTTTATTATTGCCGTTCCACCTATTTTCCGTCTCTTATGATATTGATATTATCTTTCTGGTTGTTGCTGCCGGTGCGGATCTATTATCTTTGTTCGTCTTTTTGAGCCAATGGTCTCCCAGAAACCTCTCTACTCCTCCGGGTAGGGGTAAGGTCTGCATACACTTCACCCTCCCCAAACTCCATTTGTGGGATTTACTAGATTGTTGTTATTGTTGTTGATAATGGTGAAAACTTTACTTAATTTGCAAGTAAAGAAATTTCTGTCTACTGGTGCTTTTGTTTTGATCATGGCCTCCTTGTTTTTTTCGCCTTTTTATGTGCAAACTTTCCTTAATTTTAGCTATTTTGAAAGCATACATGTTTTAGTGGCTTCTCAAAGAATGACTTCATATTGGGTAAAACCACTGACCTGTTTTTGAACATCAGGAAATGGGACGAGAAAATGTCTCTTTGTGCAACGGAAGAAAGTTCTAACTAAAATTAATATTGTTTTTTTCCCGATCATTTCACGCTGATTCTGCATTTTGTATTGCATCCGATGACATGGCTCTTGATAGGAACATGTGGAGGTCGAGCATTAGGATGGTAGGCTAGGGGGTAGTCGAGAGTTCTTCCCTCTTTGTACCGGGTAGTCTAATAGAGTTTCGTTTAGGTTTGTTAGCGGTCTTTATTGTATTCACATAGTTATTTTGCATAGTTTTATGTTATTGTCCTTTCACTTATTTGTTGTGGTTATTTTCTTTCTTGGTATCTTTTGTTATGACATGTCTTCTCTCTTATTTATTTTCTGATATTATTGCCTCTCCTATTGAGCTGAGAGTCTCTTGCAAACAGCCTCTCTGTCCTTTTCGGGGTAGGGGTAAGGTCTACGTACACTCTACTCTCCCCAGACCCCACTAGTGGGATTTTATTTGGTATGTTGTTGTTTATATGGGATTTAGTATCTACTGCAGTTCACTTGAAAAGAAAATTTTGAAAACCATCAAAAAGGAAAAACAGAAAAGAGAAACATATAAGCTGGAGGAAGCATATGCACATTGTTTAAATAGTTTTGTTCATAACTTCCATAATTTAGCATTCTAAATCAGTATAAGTCCAGTACATTTATCTCTAGACAAATTATATCCAAAACCTGTAGTTCTCCAATACAAAGGATTGCCTAATTTGGGGAAAGAAAATGTGCTCTAGTAAGAGGATATTCTTTTCCAGCAATCCAAACGCCAGTTTGCGACCATTGAATGTCTTCCCACTCCACATTCTCCTCCAAAACCTTCCGAAAAATAACATTTGAAAACAATCAGGTAAAGAAAAACCAGAGGAAAAATAGACAGCTATTTTCTTAAATAGGGATGTAAGCTTTTTGGTATTCACAGCACAAATAACCTACTCTTCATGGTGTTGCTATTATACAGATATTGCTAACACGTAATAGGGGCAGAAACAAGGTTGAATACCTCAACGTGTTCAAGGGGCAAAGGAATTCCAACTGATTGCATTAGTTTCTGAGGCAAAGCCTTCTTACACCGGGACCATCGAAACAAATCTACCATCATATTTTCACCATCCGCTCCATATTTTTCTCCGTTTGCCACATGTATGTTGTAAGTTTGAGGTTTGTCAACATCCATTTCATGCATCTGAGACGTAGCCTTTACCATCTTTTCTCCATTAAAGCAGAGCTCATACCTTCAGATTAATTAACAAGTCAAGGAGTGAAGGAGACTGAAGACCACAGTAAAAAGGCACAAATCAGATGCAAAATTATCAAAATCACATTTCGGTCACTTTCTCATCGATTTTCTTTTTCCTTCCTATTTTTTTCTTCACTCCTATTTGGCAGTTCCATCCCATTGGAGGGTGTAAGAAAATAGGGAAGCCAGTGAGTTACCTTTGAGTATGGGTTTCCAAATAAAGAACTTCGCCCTTTTTCATGCGTGAAGATGTAAAAAGGGGCTTTTTCAAACCCTTGTCAGCAACAACACTGATACTGTATTTGAGCCTGGGGAAAGAAGCGAGCAACAGTAAGTAAATAGAAACCACCGGCAACAGCAAGCTAAAATATCAAAAGAACAAAACCTCTCAAGGTATATCAACCTGGTAAATAGGACTTTTTAAATTGTCAAGGATATGGATCAAACCACCGACTTTGTTACCGACTCAAAACTAAAGGTCAGAGGATAGAACAAGACAAGTATACTGTAGCATTGCTCATCCTTGATATTCCAACCCATACTTCACAACCCCCTACTAACATATGGAAAGAGCTTGACACAAGAATACAAAGACGTTATCTACCCTTAGGTCCCAATCACAGATCCATGCATCCTAAGATACAGTTAAAACGAAAACTAAATGGTCCTCCGACACATCAATCTTACTGCTTCAAAGTCACACTTGTAGTCATATGCTCAATACTCTGAACACTACAGGAATTGGGAAAAAATGATCAATAGAAAGATAGCCTTCATGGATCCATTGAAATTTCATTCAAGCAAATTGAAGGGAAGTCTTGAGGAGGGTTTATTAGAGAATAACATATTGTAACTATTGAGTGCCAGACTGTAATGGAAAAAAAGGAAGATAAATTTCATAGAAAAATTTACCTTGTTCTTTTTCCCAATAATTGAAAAATATTTTCAGCTAAACCACTAGAAAATACGAAGAAAAAAAAGTTACTCATAAAATATATACCAAAAGCATTAAAAATTACTCCTTTTGGAAAAGAAAAAAAAGCTCCTTTTGTATGAACAGAACCCAATAGGAAAATCACAACAGGAAAAAATTGAAGGACGAGCTGATGCAGAAAATCGTACCATACCAAGGGTCCTTGCATAAGTGACAAATCATTTGGATTAGAAAAGGAAAAAAAGAATCATTCATTTGAAGAGCAAGCTGATCCAGAAAATCAGAAAAATACCAAGGCTCATTGCATAAGTTGAACTGAATGGTCACTTCACGTACAAATCTCTGTTGTCGTAGTGCATTCTACAATGAGAGAGAGAACCAACAATCAAGTTGAGGCTAAGTTAATTGGAAAATTTAAATACCACAACACACTACAACCAAGATTATTAATCAAAATAGAATGCATAGCGTTACATCTCCTTCTCCTTTCAGTACCTCAAGAAAAGATAAATAATAAAAAGATATGACCATCAGATTGCAATGAATAACCTAAAATAGACTATAAGATCTACTTGAGTTGGTTTTGGTTGTTTTGCAGCTCTTTATTACCATTGGGTCAAGCAGAAGCTCAAAACCAAGAGCAAGTCATTTTTCAACATTTTAAAATCAGTTTTTGCATAGTTTTACGCGCAATTAGGAGAAAATGTGACATATTGAGTTTTCCATGAACATTCCCATGACTCATGCAAATTAATGAGAAGCCAAATGTTTGAGAACTCGATAGAGCTCATTCTCTTATTCCTGAGTAATCTCAGCATAATGCATCTCGTTGCAATGCAAATAAGATGATAACATGATGTATAAAGGTAGAATTTTTTTTCGAATTCAACTATGATGTACTTAGGCTGTTTACGCGACCAATCATAGAAGTAACCGGTAACTCAAGAACGGGAAAGATTGTTGAAATTTTCAAGTTTCAGCATTTCAAGTTTTGATATTTTTTAAAGATACAGTTGCATCATTTGTTAATGCAAAAAACACGTTCACATGAACATACCAAAACTCCTCTTAGCTTCTTTTTTTCCTTTTAAGCTGTTTGTATGGACAAGGCATCCACGTTTTTAAAGTAAAAAAGGGTTGACAAGATAGTTAGATGTTAGTTTGGCAACTATAGTGTTGAAAAGGGTTTAGCATTAGTCTACAGAAATGGAGAAGAGACACAATTTAGCAATAGTCTCCACCTAGATGGTTCTCATCTGATTATGCTATTTATAAGAAAAGAGGAGGGATCAGTCGAATGCTAAGCATCACCAATGTAAACAGCTTCAGGCTCCCAGAGAGGGAAAGTAAGCAAAAGATATATTGTTTGTCTTATAATATTTAAAAACGTGCAAAGCAAAGTAAACTTCAACTTGAGTGGAATAATACCGAAGCTGCAGCTCTAGTGGTCATAGTGCGCTCTGCTGTCACGGGAGCAAGCGTAGGCTCCAAGGTTGAGGAGTGCGTCAGACAAGGTTCAAGATCTATGGTTCCACCTCCTTTCTAAAGGGCATGACAAATAATCAGAAAGGTCGTATAGGAGTCAGTACAAAGTTCAACATAGATATAACTGCACATTCATTACTTGTAAAAGGAATTTACTTGCATATATTAATCAAAAACAGCAAGCAACGTAGATATGTACTCTAGGCCAGAATTGCTAGTAGTGTAAGTCCATCCCAGAAAGCTAAAAAATCATCAGAAAACTAAGGGTTTGGCAAATAAAGTAGACGATGTAAAAAAAATTTGAGCCAAAAAAAAAATTAAACAAAAAGAACAGAAGGGAAGGAAAGAAAATGCAATCCACACCTTCACAACAGAGCACCGCTCGATACAGTAGCTGCAGCCAACTGCAGCACCCCAGGCACGTGAACGCACATTGTTTCTCAGAGTTGATATATAGCCTACAGCAAATGCAGTGTGACATCAGAAATGCAACGGATCGGGATGCAACACCTTATCTGAACAGACTTATGATTTTACTCACAGAAGTCATATTGAAGGTGTCTTTGAATAAGCCTATTGCTATCTGGACAAAGTATTGTGATGTCCCAAACATAATCAACACAGAGAAAATGGCCTTCAATAATCCTAGCATTTCAGATGCACTAAAAGCATTGTGAACATGCTGCAGCTCCACATTTTTTTCCCATTTTTAGCATAATCAATTAGTATTGTCGAAAACAATATGCATATTAGAAGGAGATAAGCCATTCGCCAACTTGCACCTTCTTTTTCCTTGTTTACTAATCAATTAGTACTGTTGAAAATAAGATGCACATTTGAAGGGGATCAGCAATTAGTCAACTTGCAAAAGCTTGGATTTTATCAGTTTAAATAATGAAATGGGATCAAGCAAATTGAAAAAACAAAAAGTGAGCAATACTGTGTAAAGCTCTCTGTGAGAGAATCTCCAGAAGGGACAAATTAGTTAATATTACGGAAAAGAATATGTATACTTCCAGGCCTTCACCACATTTTAGATCTTCCGAGAGATTCCCGATCAACGATTTAGGTAAGTACCAAAAGGAAAGAGAGAATGAAAAGGAAAACTTGATCCTGCTCCATTCAGAAGGGTATGCCTACAAGTAGCTATCCTAAATGATTCATTTTCTTTATAAGTTTCCCAAGATGAAGATATGTAAAGTGACATAACTTCAAAAAGATACTATGCAGGTGGAACACATATTTTCTCCTTTATTATTGATCTTTTTTTTATATAACGGTGGTGTCTAAGCCAACTTGCACGTACTTCAACTATTGCACCAGATACCTACTATCTCCCACCAACACAAGTACCGATAACTCTGTCTACCAAGGCTTAGGCAAATAAGAAGAAATCACCTAGTGTATTTTGTTTCCACTGGGATTTGAACCTTGGTCTCCAAGGTTTGCACCCACTACATGGACCACCACTAGGGTGTTTTATCGTTCTTATATTTTCCTAGACAGGTACACCTTACAGCTATTTAATAACTAAAAGTAGGCCACCAATCATTTCTCATCAGATAATGCGTTGATTCAATACATTTCAAAACATATGGCAGTTGGCATAGAATTTATATGAAGTACAACAGTCAACTATGTAAGTGTCCCTTTTTAAATTCTTTTTGCCTTGGTTGAGGGTGGGGGAAGCAAGGTGCTTAAACAAGTCTCAAGTGTTTAATAACAATTATCTTCGCCGTGAGTAATCAAATTCATTTAACTGAAACCCCAGACATCAATGTGAATAAAAGAAACTCTTATTGTTTCAGCGAACTCCAAAGCGCCATAGCCCCATGTTTGATCTTCCAAGCGCCAAAACACACACTAAAATTATTAACAAACAAGTGTGATAGAGAGCCCGACCAAAACTTGGGACCATAAAAGGTGATTGTAAAATTTGGGGCTACAAATAAGTTCAGCTCATTAAAAGAAAAGTTTTAAGCATTATACCATATGTAGAACAGGCTTTGTTTTTCTAACAATAGCAATGCTGAAGCAAGATTTAGTTTTCAAAAGACTTACAATCTTGGGGAGGTAGCACCCTGATAGTAGCGTGTAACTCCTTAATGGTTGGCAGAAGAGGAGAAGCAGTAGTACGACAGTAACCTGTGTGCATAAGAACTGGAGAAACAAGAAAAAACAGTAGTAAATAGATGTCGCAATGTCCTATATTATGCGTGCACATAAAGTACTTTGGTAAGTTCTCAAGCAATTCTGAGGTAAAGGCTAAACAGTTCCCTAAACCAAATGGACAAGCAGATAAGTTGATGGTTATTGATATTATATGAGCAGATATATTTGCCTCTTTTAACAGGAGACAAAGGGGAAGACCAGTAGCACAATCATGAATCAACAATAAGGAAAGTTCAGCAAAAACATAATCTCTTTAGAATAATTATCTATTATCTTGTTTTATGTGAAAAATAGGTTTGCTTGACTAGATCATAGTTATGAAAAGATTGGGAAGAATGGAAGCTAGACCTAAATGAAAAAATCCACCACATGACGGTATACTCAAAATTTATTTCTTCTATGCAGGCAACGGTTTCCACACTTCCCGCTTGAGGACAAGTGCGATTTGAAGGAGAGGAGTAATGTTAGCACCCCTTTAGTCTACCAACGGTTTACACATGGAAAGTTTAAAAATATCAGGAAGTACATGACTTCAGCATCTGTTAGTTATGTTTCATATATTTCCTGTAGCAGTTATTAGTAGTAGGCCACTTTCTCATTCCAGTAGTGTTAGGAAGTTATTTCCTAGTTTTAGGTAGGAGGTTAATCAACCAGTGTTTGAATTAAAGTTATTTGAACTCAGTGAAAGGTATGCAGAAAATTATTCCAGTCTTTGAGTACTTTAACTCTAGAGATTGCAGGTTCTCTCTTAGCGAACCAGCACCATAGGTTGCAAAAAGAAACCATCTTTCCAAACTCCTAATATTCTCCATATTAACTCTGATTTTGTCTTGCAGCGTCCCATAACAAGATCCATAACAGGGGACTGTAACATGATGCCTTAATTGTGATACAAAAATATTGAACATAAGTGACAAACCTGCAACAAGATCTGAGTCATTGGTGTATATATCCGTTCCCCATAGCTGGCCACCTCTCACCTGCAAATGACATAGAGAACTCAAATGACTACGCTAACATGATAAGACAGAACCAAACTACAACCACAAGAGATAAGACTGGGAGTCAGATGTAACCTTAGCAAGAATTGTAGGTGTGGGGATGAGATGCATGTTAGAATTAGTGGCAGGAATATGCATACAAAGGATGAAAGGTGCATGTTGATCAGGTTCTATGGCCCCGGCATAAATGCATGTGTGAGAGAGAGAAAGATGCCACTAGGTGCACTTATATTAGAATTCAAAAGCTTTTGTTTTGCATTTTGAGTTAAAGTTGATCCATCAATTCAACAGTATAATGCTGCACTCAGATTTTTTTGAATGTTAAGAGGATAAATTAAATTATATGCGACTACCTTCACACATGTCTAGATTTATTAAACCTAATTAAGAACAGTATTATATAATACCATGTAGAATACCTTGGGATATCTATATGTAATTATAGACTAATTACGTACCTTATTAGGTACAGAGAAGATTACCTACTATAATGTAGATAGTCGGAAACTCATATATAAGAAGCCCCTCTAGTACTTTGTTAATCAATCAAATTCAGCAAGTAATCTTTATTTGTGTCAATGGTATCAGAGCCTCTAAATCTTGGTAGAGACTTGAGTAGCTTTCACCTACCGGCGAGTGGCTTTACGCCTCCTTCCTCGCCACTGTTTTCTCTTCATTCTTTTCCTCTTCCTGACCCCCTCCCCTTTCCGTCGACCTCTATGACGATGCATTGTCCTCTCTCTAGCGACCGGCACTGTCCACTCTGTGGTGACTCGTGCAGCTCCTCTATAAAGAAACCCACACGTCCTCTAAAATATTGAACTTCTAGTCATTGTTTTTCCAATTTAAGCTACAGCGATGATGTCCTGGAAGTTCGCAACACCATACCTTTTTCCAGAGACTGAGAATAGATTCCTTCCCTCGTTTAGTGCAAGAAGCACTTTCTTTCTTGTGCAGTTACCAGCAACTGCAACTTTCTGAAAGAAAGAATTCCAACACTGTTTTCTTTTCGGTGATCTTGCACTATCTCGGCAAGATTTTAACAACTTCTTTCCATGTTTTCAGAATAAGCAAACACATATTGCTTTTCCCCACTTAGAGTTTGAGAAGGTATGTTGAATGTTAGAAAGAATAAGTAAAGTTATATGTTTCTAAATTCACACATGTCTAGATTCATTGAATTAACTAAAAATAATATTATAGATTACTCTATAGGATACCTTAGCATATTAGGTATATAATGATAGACGAATACTTACTTTACTAGAAACAGAAAATGATTACTACCACATTGTACGTAGTCTGAGACTCATATATAAGGAATCCCTCTTGAGAAGTAATGAACCTTGAGCCTAACTCAACCCTAAAAACTAGCTCATACGATGAGGATTTCTCCCAAGACCACATAAAGCGTCCAATTCTCCACCCCACATATGATGTAGGATTATTAACACACTCCGCATGCCCAAACTGTACTGTGCACAACACAATATAGGGCCCAACATCGGATAAACCAAGAATTGGGTTGGACCTTGGCTCAGATACCATGAGAAGAAATGGAACTTAGGCCTAACTTAACCTCAAAAGTTAGCTCATGAAGTGAGGAGTCCACAAACGACATGGGACTACTCACACCTCTTGTACATTGCAACTCCCACTTATGTCCAAGTTTGATCGTCATTTACAATGCAAGCCAATGGTCCAGAAAATAAGTCTTCGTTAACAACAATCATTTAAGTATTAAAATATCTTGGTCCAATGCTAAGCACCGCAAGTACATCTAAGATATACAACATCATAGCACAACATAAAGATACACTTAACTTATCAACCCACCAAAGGCTACTTACTTAAAAGAAACTGGACTCAGACTTCATTATAACAACCAAGAGTACTCCAATAACTAATATAGATTCTGTATCAAGCTTGACGACGTCCTGCTTTGCGAACTTTTGAAGCATAAAGTCATCGCACTGATTGATGGCTAGCATGTAAGAAGCTATCAAAGTAATTGGGAGCTAGCAAAGTGATGTTCAAATATTTCAAAGTTGGAGTAAAAGTATTTAGAGACACCCGCATAATCATCTAACCTCTTTCTTGCTCAATGATTAGAAAGGAAAACCCTTAAACCAGAGTATTGAAAGAGCTATTATTTAAAATTAATTAGAGTAGTTATCTTCGAAAGGACACAAACAGAAGATGAGGAATAAAATTTAAAAGGGTGTATATGAATCATCAGCTGCTATTCTAATCTTACCTGGCGATTTGTAGCTGATACGTGTTCAGCTGGAATCCTAATTTCTAAAGTAGGACCACTTGGAGAGCTCTCAGATGCTCTATCAGCTTGAGATGATTCATATTCCTTCCACAATTTAATCAGTTCTTGCATGCACTCACCAACTCTATAATTGACGGTGGATACATCATGCTTACCTGGAAAGACAAAGGAAACCAATTTTTCAGATATGGAGCAGGAATACTAAGTCACAACATTTTTTTTTATAAGTGAGAAATCCCCAAGGGCTAGTGGCGGATGGTTCAAAACTCGGTGGATAATGGGCCCATTTAGTCGGCTAATCTATGAGCAACTTCTGCTTTGTACCATCATCAGTTGATTTCTTGTACAGAAGTAGCAACAAGCAAGTAGGGATGAAAAACAATAGAAAAGCATCCTAACCTAACAATGACTAACATTTTAATGGCAGGTGAAATGCAACAAATATTTTTTAATAAAATTTATTTAGTACAAGATTTTTCATAAAGAAAAAAGAGAATACAGAAATTATCATCATAGAACGCGTCAGACATATCAGCTCTGCAGCAAAGGAGGGACAGAAAACAGTTCAATTCACTCAGAATTTTTATTTGACTATTCAAAAGAGGAATTTTATAGAACTATTAAAACCATTCCACAAAACAAGTAATATGATCTGCAGATATACCAGTATGACTCTAATAGATGAGAATCATTTGCATATGTTACAAATATTGAATGCACAACTTCCGCATACAATGTACTACAGGTCACAACAAACATGTAGCAGACACTACTAGAGTTAAAACGTTGCAGTCAGTGCATTAATGGGAATTTACACGTAGCAATTATCCACAAATAACAGATTACATGTGAATCTGTGATATTTTCTGAGAGCTAATATACCATGCGTTACAAGATACACAAAATGTGCCATGTGTTACAGCTGTAAGTTATAAGTTGGCTTTTGCACGAAGTGGCTGATTATCAGAATCCTGGGTTTACCCATATAGTTTCCAAATGTTGATGTGTAAAGAAATGATTATTATACTTTTTTGATAAACTAAAAAATAATTATAATTATAATCTTGAAGAATACAAAAGAAAAGCCACTGTAATGCGTGGCTGTCTCTTTTCCAATTCAAAGTAGAAATCTTTCATGTTTTCAATATTCGGGACATATTTTTTAGAATAGACCTTGGGCCTAATTCAGCCCCAAAACCTAAATCATAAAATGAGGATTACACAAAATCATATAAGGAGACAACATTTCATTCCCTCAACCAATGTGGGACACTCTAATACTCCCCTCCTCCTGCAAGCCGAGGGTTGAACATCTGGAACGTGGACAAAGTAACAAATGGGGCCCAAAATTTGGTAAACCAAGGATAGGGATAGGTCTAGCTCTGATAGCAGGGAAAATGGACCTAGGGCCTAACTCAACTCCAAAAGCTAACTCATGAGGTGACCCAAGGCTATATGAGGAGAACAACACTTTTTTCATGCAAAGGAGAACAACACATTCTCTCAACCAATGTGGGACATTATAAAAATTGTACATAACATTAGATTACAAATTGGGCTAAAGTAACTACTCAGACCTCTTTTAACTTTCTCAGGTTAAGCTAATATTCGCACAGAACTTTTCTCTTGATTACAGATCAATGTTTTCTCTCGATTATCTACTCTTTCTGGCTGATTTAACCTTTTCAATTTTATTTATTTTCATGGACCCTTTTTGGAGTACTTTTGGCCAACATTCATTCCTCAATTAAGATTCATTTGGCCACGGGATTGAGCAGAAGGAAATTTGTCATGAAATAGCAGTAAGAGTACAGTCATAGAACTCTGTAATTATGTCAAACCAGAAAAAAGATCAATGCAACTCACCCTTTTATGTAAAAGGAAAAAACACAAGAAGAAGTCATATTCTCACATAAATAGATAATCATATCATCAATTACTAGAAGTCCTTGTTCGCATTACTTTAAAGATTTTCAGACTCCAATGACATAATTAGCTATACTAAATTGAAAATAGGGGAGTGAGGTGGTCAGGTTAAAATTTGCATGCAAGAAAGTGAGAAGCTAAAGACCCTAACGTAAGAGAAGAACGGATAGAAGAGAAGCACTAATCTCAAAGACAATGTCATCACTCATCACTTGGTTCTAAAGGAAAGTTATATCTTTTTGTCTCTTATCTGCTTCCCCTAGTACCCACCCCTGGCTTTCAGTGCCTCAAAAATAATTTCGCCTTATCATTGTTTTGATGAATTCTTTAGCTAACTACTTGGCAAAATTTCGTGTATAATTGTTTTTTGATTTTTCTCTAACAAATCTTTCAGGACTAATTGTAGATTGCCAATATAGATAATTGGAAAAGCTCTGATATAATACCGACTACATCAGAATGATATTTGTGTCAAACTAATTCTTCCTCTCTAATCTAGAGCTCAATATGATGAACATGGAAGAGGGATACAAGAGACAAGTTTTAAAAAAAATGTGGGTTATCTAAAAAAGGAAAGAGCATAAGCTTGGCGATGTTGATTGGCTTTATTCAATCCAGCCAGTGGGTTTAAAGCGCATAAAATGAACGACCTTTTAGATGGTTATTAAAAGAGAACTTAATATGTAACATGTGGCACGAAATTTTTTGTATAAGAAAGACTTCAATTCAAGGAGAGAAATTTATTTAATCTTAAATGACTCAAAGCATTTAAAGCAAGATTGTCTTCTAATCCTGGAGGGGCCTGGTTTCCAGTTGTATCATCATGCTAATTTGGTCACAAACTACTGATTGTTTTGTCCATTAAAAAGAGAGATTGGTCCATCAGCAGTGACAAAGGTTATATGGATTCAAACAAATGGCAAGAAGTTTGCAGTTCACAATCCAAAGTATACACCAGCAATCAATAGTATAAAGCCAAAAAGAAGAAAACTACATGCCCACATGAGAATTGATATGCAGAAACAAAAGAATGACATCTATAGAGTTCCTTTCTCTGCATACTGGAAAAGCGATGACCAACAAGTCATTCAAGACAGTTCGAGTATAACACATTTGTCGAAGGAGATTCATGTAATGCAGACAGAAGCTGAAAGCAGTTAAGATATTAAAGAGGATGAAGAAGCAGGAACATGTGAGCATATGATTTTGCATATAGGCATATCTAGCAACCTAAGGCAGAAACAGCTGGCAAATCTGGAAGAATGACGGCCAAAAGAGCATCAATTCCTAACAAGGAAACTATCACAACCAATAAAAGATGGGATCAAGGTCGTTTATTTGTTAACTTAGCAACTTTCAGAGTCAAATAAGTCTGCAAATAAGAATGCCAAGAACAACTCCCTCCTCTGCATACAAACTTGAGACCACTTCAAGTATTTTTAACAGCTTACCTTGAGATCTGCACAGAAAGAAAACAGAAGAAGAGTTACACTACACATCAACAAAAAGAGATTTATGTGCACTAAGTGGAGAAAATATCATCAAACTTATCAGGATAAATAAATTATAGGAAGTTTAAACTCAAATTAGTGAATTTATTAGTTGCTAAACGAGAAAATGAATTAAACACGACTTAGACCACATATATCACCCTTTAATTATCAAATCTAGTTCAGTCTTTACATTTAATTTTTTAGTAAATAACCATACAAGACCTGAGAAAAAGATAATCGTCAACCAAACTGAGTCCTGAAAACCAAATTAGTCACTGAATTTGAAGTATGATAGATGTGATTAACACCCAATTACCCAAACTGGCAAGTCTGACTAAAGCCATAATAAACTTTTTGATCAAGCTTTTAGGGAGGTAGCCGACGGAAGCGGGAGTTGAAGTGAGGCTTGACTCTCAAGTCATTCCCAAGAGAGGTAGTTTCAAGTACCTTGGATCGGTTATTCAGGGGATCGGGGAGATNTGTAGTGGGCACGCGGAGAGGTAGAGGGCGACCTAAGAAGTATTGGGGAGAGGTGATCAAACAGGACATGGCGCGATTAGGATTACTGAGGACATGGCCCTTGACAGGGAATTATGGAGGTCGAGCATTAAGGTTGTAGGTTAGGGGAAATTGTGAATATTTCTACAGCACAATAGAGTGAGACTAGCCAGTTAGGAGTTAGACTAAGAATGTCATTGGTCGTCTATTGATGCAGGGCTTTACCTGCTAGTTTTACTATACCAGCCATCTATTTCGTATTCTGTATTTCATATCTCTTATATTGATGTTATTTTATTATGCATTTCTTATGGTACTAATATATCGGCTCCTGTTGCTTTTTTTAGCCGAGGGTCTCCTGGAAACAACCTCTCTACCCTTCGGGGTAGGGGTAAGGTCTGCGTACATATTACCCTCCCCATACCCCACTTGTGGGATTATACTGGGTCGTTGTTGTTGTTGTTGATCAAGCTTTTAGGGATTAAATGGAAGAATATAGATGAAGCTGCATAAAGGTGGTTTTAAAAACTTTTTTTTTGGTTGATAAAGTACAATAACAACAACTTAGTGGAATCCCACAAGTGGGGTCTGGGGAGGGTAGTGTATACGCAAACCTTACCCCTATCTATGAAGGTAGAGAGGCTGTTTCCGAAAGACCCTCGGCTCAAGAACGTAAAAAATAGAGCAATAGAGAAACAATAGCAACAACAATGTAATTTTGCTGATAAAGTAATAACTTTATTAGTGTAGAAAATTGAAAAACTTTCCCCTTAAAGACAACATTGCTCTTATAACAGCATTTTATCGCCGCCCCTCTCTGCGATTAAGAAATAGCACAGCTGAACATTATAAAGGATCTGAAAATTTTGAATTCACAATTCTTAATTACGCCTTATAGATGTTTCTAGGGATCTTGGAAACTTGATGTTGGGTTCCGGATACCTTCTTGACCTGCTGACTTCTTTTTATAAAAAGATGATCAAATGACCAAAAAAAGGTGAAAATCAGGATTACTTGAAGAGCTTGGATATCAAAGGGTTTAGCTTATCTTAACAGGGAAAGATACAGTTAAAATATGGCAACATTTCTTAATGACAAAATTGACAAAAGATACAGCCATCATATTCATGCCCATTCTGTAATGTTTTTCTCGACTGAGATTACTCAAAAGACAGACAGGATTATTACTACACTTATTTGACTATAAATATCTCAGATTTCCCGGAAATGACATGTGACATCTCCTTTTTGTTCTTGCAAAAAGAGAAGAAACTTTTTATTGACTTAGTCAATTAACAATATACAAGAGGAGCTCCTTATATAGAAGTTTAAGGCTACAGATGATATGGTAGGTAACATTATCTATGCTAATAAAGGTAAATAAATATTCTATAATTGAATACATAATAATATCCTAATGTATCCTACATAATACTTTTTAATTCAAGTTCAATGGATTCAGCCATTTCTAAATATAGAGACATGTAACACTACTTACTTTTTTCCTGAAGAAGTATAACGCTACTTACTTTTTTAACATTGAACACACACCCTAAACTCAATGTGGGTGGAATAGTGTAGAATCACAAAAAAAGAGTAGTGTTGGAAAGTAGCAGATACCCGGTATTTGTGTTGGTGGAAAGTAGTAGGTACCCACTGGAATTGCCGAGCTGACTAGGATGCCACCATTATCAAAAGAAAAAAAAGAAAGAAAAGCGGTTTATATAGCTTTTCTCTTCAAAAAAGAAAAAGCAATGTTGGAATTCTTTCCTCCAAAAAGTCACTGATGATTACACAGCGTAAAAATGTGCTTCTTGTACTAAATATAAAAAGAACCTATCTTTTCTTTTATAACCGAAAAATGCACAGACTACGCTTCAAAACTCGGTAGATAATGGGTCCCTTTATCCTTCTCCATTAAATCCATGCCTAGCTCCCAACAGGATTTGAACACGTGACGTGCGCCACCATACATCTAGTGTTAAACAACCTCTGCTGTTGAACCAAAGCCCAAGGGCCAAAAAAGAATCTATTCTCTATAATTGCGAAAAAGGTATACTATTGCAAATCTCTAAGGCATCCTCAGAAACTTCAATTAGCAAAAACAATGACCAAAAATGTCAAGTCTAGAGGAAGGTATCTGGCGCCAGTCTCCATAGTGATAACATGCCGAAGAGGTTAGAGGAGTCGACGTTGACTGTGGATGAGAAGAGGGTATGGGTCACTCCACAACAAAAGGAAAAGAAGAAAGACATACACCGCCAGGTGGCGTCAGACCGTCCACCAATAAGTGGAACTATATGAAAGTCCAAGAAAAGAAAAATAAAACATTTTAGTGACTTAGTTGATCAACAATGTAAAAGAGGACCTCTACGAAGCTTACGCTACGCATGATATGGCAGGTCACCATGCTCTACGCTAATAAGATAAGTAAATATTTTATAATTAAATACAAAATATCACAAGGTATCCACAGAATATTCTATAATAGTTCCTTAACTTTTTTCTTTATTAAGTTCTATAATATTTTCCTTGTTTGATTGAATCTAGACATATATTCTCTAACATTCAACTGATCTAAAGACCTCGAACTCGAGGATTGTAGCAGACAGGGGCCATGACATCTATCTATAGTTGCAATGGTCCATTACTCTGCCGGCCGACTGTAGATTGCCTATGGCTCACCATTTATAGGTAAAGAATCAGAAAACGTCAAGTCAATCAGCAAAGGAAAAGGCATACCCTTCATTTTCATGAGTGTGTGACCTAAAAGGAGGATCGCGGTTGGCCATAGGACTCCCTCTTGGCCTCCTTTTGCGCTGCTGAACTCCACAATTAAGAGCTTCTCTTTCTCCACCTCCTTCAGTGTCCATTGCTTCCCCCTCTGATTCTTTATCATGATGCGTGCCAGGTTTCTCAGGCTTCTCTCCTTCTAAATCAGTATCTCTTTCCTTTCTCCTCTCACTTCCATCTCTGTCAGTATTTTTCCAGCTATCATGATCTTTCTGTTTCTTCAGCTCCACTGTTGAATTTCCCAGCTCATTTGTTTTTCCAGGAACATCAACCACTTTTTTTTCACTCTGTGAAACCTCTCTCTCCGCTCCATTCCACACTTCCCTGTTCACATTGTCCTTTTCCCAGTCCTTTGGTCTCTCCTTATCCTTTGAAATATCTCTTCTTTCCTTCTCCCGCCGCTCAGATTCCCTTTCCTCTTTAAGCAACTCCTTGTTATCAGAACTGCTATTCCCTAGTTGTAAATTATTCCGACGATCATTTCTTTCTTTATCCCTATCTCCCCCTTCCCGGTGCTTCCCTTCTTTCCTTTTTCTATCTTTATCTTTGTCTGTCAAATCCACCTTGTTTTCACCAATAGCTTCACGCACTTGAGCAAAATCCCTGTTATCGTTTGAGAATTCCTTTCCTACCTCAGCAGCACCATGGGTTCTTGACGCATTCCATGGATCCACGTTCCCAGCAGGGACATCAAGATATCTTTTGCCTGTGTTTTCTTCTTTAGAATCCTTCCAACTCACCCCACTAAACCTGTCCTTATCAGCCTTCACATCTCCCTTATATTCGGGTAAAGTATCCCCATCATGTTTAATGTCCTTACCATCATCAGCTCTCTTCTCAAATCTATCGTCCTTGTCCCTTAATTCACTTTTTGCATCACAATTCTCAACCTTGTTATTTTCCTTGGGCTGTAATCTGTTATCTAAAGCAACAGAATGATCAGGATGTGAAACATTTGGAACATTTGGAACATTTGGACATGATGAAACACGGTACATTGGTAGCTCAGGAGATCTTCTATCCGAATCCCGTGATACGAACCGTCGAATCTTCGGCATTCGACCATCTGGGCCTACATCAACGGAGCGAATAAATTCCAGTTTTCCATCACTCGTCAGCTTGATCATTCTACCAGAGTCATCCTGGTAGTACGTTGGAGAAGAAGAGTGACTGCGGTTACTACCACTAACATTTCCACCATCCTCATGTGGTCTTTTATTAGGAGTAGTGCTCATATTCCAGCATATAAGATAAAGAAACCTCAAGAACCACAACCTGCAAAATATTAAAACCCAAGAAATATCATCAACCTAAATCGATGATGTGCTGAGCAAAATAACAAGGAAAACCACCTGTAAGAAACAAAAGTAATAAACTTTTCACCAAATTCATGAACAGCTTAACAACACAAAGCCATTTTATTAATAACATTCACTAACTAGTGAAAGATCTGCAAGCAGCAGACTCTCAAAGCTGACTTCATACCTAATAATAATTCTAGGACCTGATACCTACACAACCATGCATCATACAGAGGGGAGATATCAGTTAGGAGGCTAGGCATTAAGATCTCTTTTTTATCTTTTGAATTCGATTAAAGGCAAGATATCATCTTTTCGTTAGCAGCAGGCTTACAGAACTTCAAAATCTGATATAAAATAGAGAGAAAATAACTGGAGACCAGCATTGCCACTCAATTCGAGCAAATATTTCCTCGACAAATCAGCTTTAGCTCAATAAACACACCATTAATAAAATAAAAAGGGTTAAAAATAAAAGAAGCAAAGAAGATTTAATTATTACATCCATTCTAATACTTAATAATTTGTCTTTTCAAGCAAATTTGGGGTTCTCTATATCTCAATAGAAGAAAATCAAAACAAACAAAAAAGATTCAGCTATTGCCATGCCAATTACAACGTAGCACCGAGAAATTTTTCAAACAATGTGCTAAAAAATTTCATTTCATAACCCTAAGTATAGCAATCAGTAAGAACCCAGAAAAGAAAAAAGGTTAAGGCTTTGAATCTAATCACATACACCCAGAACAGAAAAAACCAAGAAAATCCCAAAAAAAATAATATATATATGAACTTTAATGCCAGCAAAAAGTAAAAACACACCTTGATAGTAAAAGAAGGAGAAAAACTCAAACTTTATCTGTCAATTTCTCTCTTTAGGACCAAAGTACAGAGGAGAATTGCTTAGATTTAGAGCACAAGTTATCGGGGTGTATTTGTCAGCAAAAATGTACACTGATCTTTTTGTGTTTTATATTGAGCAAGTACGTAATTAATGGTGTAATTTGGAATTAGTGAGTCAAATGACAGTTTGGCCCTTTAATTTGGCTTTACTAGGGACTAGATGGGTAAAAAAGCCAGTTTTTGAACAGTTATTTAGGGGCCGTTTGGTTTTGGACAAGATTATAATTCTACATCTGATGTGGGATAACTAATAGTAGTAGCTAATATAAAATATATACCAATATTAGCTAATATCAATAATCAAATATGGAAAAATATAACTTTAAATTCTAAGTTGAGATTAGTATCCTAATTTCGGTAATTAAATAACAAAAATGCGGTTCAATACTTAGCCAACTTTTGAGATGTATAGCCTGTTTGGCCAAGGTTTTTTTTGGCCAAAAGTGTTTTTTTGGCCAAAAATTGGTAAAAATAACACGATATAGCCAGTTTTCGGATTGGTCATTCAAAAATAGTCAGCGTTTACGAAGTCAATGAAAAATAGTCACTATTTTGCTGCAACAGAGACCGGTCCAGCATAATATACTGGAGTTCGGTGCACATGTGTATGAACTCCAACATATTATGCTGGACCGGTATACTTTGCTGACTCCAGTATAATATACTGAAAACTAGAGCATCGGTGCTCCAAACTCCAGTATATTATACTGGACAATTATACTTGCTCGAACTCTAGTATATTGTGCTGGAGTTCTAGTGTACTTATGTTGAAACTCCATCATATTATGCTGGAGTTCCAACATACTTATCCTGGAACTCCAGTATAATATGCTGGAGTTCAAGCATACTTATGCTGAAACTCCAGTATAATATACTTGCGTATTTTCCGGGTTTTGAACAGTGTTTTCGCTCAAATTTATCTTTACATGAAAAGTGGCTAAATTTCGATTACTTTTGAAACTAGGCTATTTTTGAACGACCAGTTGTAAATCTGGCTATTTTTGAATTTCTCCCCAAAAATTGAGGTGTTTGGCCAAGCTTTTTGAGGGGAAAAAAGTATTTTTGAGGAGAAGCAGAGGCAGTGTTTGAGAAGCAGAAAAATGTAGTTTTTCTCCAAAAGCACTTTTCTAATAAGCATTTTTTTAGAAAAATACACTTAGAAACAATTTTCAAAAGTCTGGCTAGACACTAATTAATGTTCAAAAATACTTTTTAAATTAATTAGCCAAACACAAATCGATTTTTACCAAAAATGCTTTTCAAAATAAGCAGATTTTAGAAGTTTGGCCAAACGGGCTAGTAGTTAAACAATAGAGTTTTTTAAATAAATAAGCATAAAAGAGTTTTTTGCTCTTTAATCTTTTCTGTCTTGTAGCGGAAAGAAGTTTCGAGATGTAACAGGAAGTAAAAGGAGATGGAAATCAAAACTCCATAAGATTGGATTTACATTACTTGTCTTTAAATCAAAGTAATATTTTTTCGATAGATATATAAGTCAAAATAATTTTTCAGAAGGGACTAAACTATCCATCATATATAAAATAGTTTAAAATTAGGGATTTTTTTCATTCCTATACACTATTTAAAACCTTGTTACGAAAAATGTCCAAATTTTTATATTTACCCGACCTAAATACGTTTTAACTACAAAATATATACATTGCACCTTAAAAAGCTCACAATCCACTATTAGTGCCTTCAATCAAGAGATTTAGTTATACATTTTTCCTTTTTTTCTCTCCTCTTTCCCCATTTCTCTCCGGATCTTCCATTCTTTTCACAAACGGCAATTCACAAACGGCAATTCCCAAACACCGAAATGGATGATCTGAATTGTAGTATTCGATTTCTGAATTCGAGTTCTCAGAATATTCGGAAAATTCTCAATCAATCTAAAAAATTCATACTTCAGCCCATGCAACTATGCAATGGCGCTGGGGTGAGTGTGTGTATGCGCGTTTATATGTTATATATGATGATGTTTCATTATGTAATTGTGCAAGTAATTTTCTATTGTGATAGAAATACGAGCACTCGATCAAATTCAATTGAAACGTTTGGCTATCATAATTGGATTTTATTAAATTTTGTGAGCTTAACTACAAGCAGGTGTCTTTGATGAATATTTGTTAGGTTCATTCGTTCATTAAAAATGAATTGTTGTAATGTGTTGAATTTAAGGCAACTAAGTTATACTGCTTGTGTTTCTAACTTATCTAAAACTTTCATACATTATTTCTATCCAGTTACATACAACTATAATATCATATCATTTAAATACAAATTTTATATAATATATTTTCTGTATATTTCGTATTTGATTTATATATAATAAAAATAAATTTCATACAACTAATTATATATTATACAACTTATTTACAATTTATCTACAACTTTCATATATTATTTCTATCCAATTATATATAACTACAATATCATACAACTAAAATATAATTTTTATACAAATTTTATACAATATGAATTTATATATTTTTTGTATCTGACTTGTATATATTTTGTCTTTGGTGTGTGCTTTTTACTCTCTAAAATTCCAATCAAAACTTACTCTCTTAATATAATTTTGATACGTATCAATAACTTTATGTAAACATATTGTATTAATAACTTAAATACAAATTTTATATAACGATTCATACATTATACAACTATTGTTCAACTTTCATACAACATTCAAATAAAAAAAATATAACTACAACATAATACAATTTATATATAATTATACGACAACTTTACTACAATTTCATAAGTATAATGTATGTCATGTCTTCTTCTTCTTCTTCTTCTTCTTCTTCTTCTTCTTCTTCTTCTTCCAATCTGAAATTCAGCCAAAAGCAAGTCTAATCTTCACCAAACACCCTCAAATTGAGATATAAACTCCAAACAATATTCTCAATTGTTTGCAACAACACCCAATTCAAACAACTAATGATTTTTTAAAACTCAAATTTGAATTCAAAACTTCAAAGCTTTTTAATGGATGTCAATGGTGGAGAGTCAAACACCTTCAAAATTTATTCATTGACAATTTCAACTTGAATACCAATTGTGCAACATTACTGAAATTTGAACACCAGTTGTTCAACACCTTCAGCTCTACATTATTAGAATTTCAATAAGCATGAGATTGCTGCTCTCTTTTCTTTTGCTCTACATTACTGGAATTAGGGTTTGAGAGATAGATAGAGACGAAGAGAAAGAGAGAGCGCATGAGAGAGAGAGAGACACAGAGAGAGAAAGAGAGCACAGGGGGAGAGAGAATAAGGATGAGAAATAATTGATATCTAATATAAAGGGATACTCATATAATTCCTAAAGTATATATAATTGGTAAATTGTATATGTCTATGTAATTAAATTGAAACTTGAGTAAGGAGGGTAATAAAGTTTCAAGTAGTGTATAGGAAGGTAAAAATCCCTTAAAATTATCCTCGAAAAAATTACACTCTTTGTCTGTTGGCCCAATATTCCAATCAAATTTGGCTCGTATTTTTGCTTACAACCCAGTTTGGTCTAGGTTGTACATAATATGAAAGAATCTCTTCATTCTTTAGCCCAACATTTGATGAGTGTCTGACGTATGTAAAATTTAACTCGCACCTGTCAAATAATAGTATAGAAAGATGTCGGATCCACAAAGATTGGTTTATCTATTCAACGAATGTTTCTTGCTTTAATTACTATTTGAGAAAAATCAGAAAGAGTTGAGTTGTAAGTTAACTAACGAACATCGTATGAATAGAGCAATAAAAAATATTTTTATTTTTCACAAATATAATATAAAAGTATTGGAAACCTGACTTCACTTAATATTTTTATTATATAGCAGATATATTTATTCTTCAATTTCTTGGCACGTCAAATGTATATATGTCTCACGATTACATTTATATATTATTGTCACACCTCCCTTTTCCGCCCCCGCGAGGGTGCGTAGGGAGTTTTCTCCAATTAAAGGACAGTCGAAACGAGATTTGTTTGTTTGTTTCAGAGTCGCCACCTGGGAATTTTAAGGCGTCCCAAGTCACCAATTTTAATCCCTGAATCGAGGAGAATATGACTCTGTTTATTATTCTGCGAACCAGAAATCCGGATAAGGAATTCTGTTAACCCGGGAGAAGGTGTTAGGCATTCCCGAGTTTCGTGGTTCTAGCACGGTCGCTCAACTGTTATATTTGGCTTGATTATTTTTATTTGTTAAATACATTTTTATTGCATGATTTTATTATTACCGCTTCTATTTAGATTGTTTATA